GGTTCTGGTGTCAGCAGGAGGTTCTGATGGGAGCAGGAGGTTCTGGTATCAGCAGGAGGTTCTGGTATCAGCAGGAGGTTCTGGTGTCAGCAGGAGGTTCTGGTCGTAGCTTGAGTTGAAAGAATTAAAGCAGCTGATCAAAAGCTGTGCGGTCATGAAGGTTCTGTTGGGAAAAGGATAAATCTTGTTCCAGAACCTCCAGAACCTTCAGCTCCCAGAACTTGTTTCCTGATCCTGGTCCGTGTCGACCCGTCAGCAGTTTGCTTTTGATGGGAACAACAGAACGGTTCTGTGGGAACAGAACACGGGTCCTCAGAGTTCTGTTTGTGACTGGCCAGCGTCGCTGGTTCTGACCCGGTTCTCGTTTCTGTCTGTGTTCAGATTCTGGTTCTGACCCGGTTCTTGTCTCTCTCTGTTCAGATTCTGGTTCTGACCCGGTTCTTGTCTCTCTGTTCAGATTCTGGTCCTGACCCGGTTCTTGTCTCTCTGTTCAGATTCTGGTTCTGACCCGGTTCTTCTCTCTCTCTTCAGATGGACACCACCTGTGGGAGGCAGAAGCCAAGGTGGAGAGCGACGCCTCCAGACCCGTGAGTGACACACGACACAGAACCACCGGGAGCAGAACCCGACCCACTTCGTGTTCCAGTGGACACAGATCCAGTTCAGCTCAGAGAACCCTGCAGGGGGTTCTGATGTCCAGGCCCGGGTAAACCCAGAAACAGAACAACTGGACTTCTGTTCTGCAGCAGAATCCAGGTTCTGTCCCCTAAACTCACGCGCAGGTCAGACTCCCTCCCCTCCCTGCTGAGGGTCAGACGCTCAGACCGCCTGAGTGGAACCGTCCAGAACTGTCCTCTTGTTCTGGACTCAGGTCTGGGCAGCAGCTGGACCAGAGGTCCAGACTCCCTGGTGTCCCCAGACCAGAGAGACAGAGTCTGTCCAGGACCTTCCCTGGTGTCTCCTCCCTCAGGAGACGTCTCTGAACCTCCTCAGCTGGCTCCTCTGGATGAGGAGGAGCAGCGGTTCTCCTCCGAGTCTCCTGGAGAACTGAACTCCTCACCCCGTCTCTAAGGAGGGCCCAGCTACCCTGCAGGGAGGACTCCTGTAGATCTCCTGGACCCAGGATCTGGTTCTGTCAGAGTTCAGGACCTCAGGTGAGGGAGGGACGGAGACCGAGTGGAAAGCTTCTCCTGCAGCCCAGCTCCCTCTTCTCCACATGGACCGGCTCAGACTCCACAGTACTGCAGACGCTGCTCCGGTCCGTCTGATGAGCTGACACTCCATCCTTCAAACCCAGAGGTCCTGGAAGTCCTGGAGGTCCTGGAAGTGACCACCAGAGGCTCTGAAGACCCTCAGGAGGGAGGAGAGGGAGCTGAACCAGGTCCAGGGGTTCTGATCTGCTCTAGTTCTGGTCTTTGTCCCTCTGGCTGCCTGGACTCGAGACACGTCCACCTCGGTCTGCCGGGTCGGGTCCAGCTCCAACACAGACACCGCCTCTGACGGGTTTCCCTCCACAATCCGGGTCAGTACCAGAACCGTCACATAACTCCTGTCCTCCGGACCTGAAGGGATCCACCAAACTGGACCAGACCCCAAACTGGACCAGAACCCAAACAAGATCAAAACCCAAACTGGACCAGAACCTAAACCAGGCCAGAACCCAATCTGGACCAGAACCCAAACTGGGCAGAACCCAAACTGGACCAGAACCCAAACTGGACCAGAACCCAAACCGGACCAGAACTCAAACTGGACCAGAACCCAAACTGGACCAGAACCCAAACTGGACCAGAACCCAAACCGGACCAGAACCCAAACTGGACCAAAACCCAAACTAGGCCAAAACCCAAACCGGGCCAAAACCCAAACTGGACCAGAGCCCAAACTGGACCAGAACCCAAACCGGGCCGAGCTGGTCATCCGTCCATTAAACATTTATTGTTTCTTCTGGTTCCGCTCGCTGCTGCAGATTTATTTTAACGTCACTCATCTGTCGGTTCTGCTCGTTCTGAACTGTCGGGTCCATCTGGGTCCGTCTGGAGCAGAACCTGAACCTGTAGTTATTGCGGAGAAATGAAAGTTCTGATTCTTTCCTGCAGAACCTGCTGCTGGTTGAAGTCCCTCCCTTCAGAACCCAGCGCCTGTCCGGTCCGGTCCACGTCAGCTTCTACGTCTGCAGCGGCAAGAGGAAGCGGAGCCAGTACCAGCGCTTCACCTACGTCCCTGCAGCAGGTAACCCGCTCCGCTCGCCTCCAGAACCACTCTAATGGGGGGGGGGGGGGGGGCAAAGAACTGCACGCAGGCCAACCTAGAACTTCCTGAGACCTGGATCCTGGCAGGAGGACACTGGTTTGGACCGGACTGGTTCTCTTTAGGGGACCAGACCGTTCAATAATCCATCAGCTCGGGATGAAAGACGACTCAGGTCCAAGAGGCTCTGGTAGAGGGGGGCATGGGGGGAACTTATCATTTGGGGTGCCCCCTCGTGACGGCCCTGCTACTTTCATTAAAACAGCCGAAGGAGAGTTCTTTGAGCTGAACGAGCCGGAGATGATTTTAGGATTGTGTGGAACAAAACTAAAATCATTTAAAAAAATAATAATGAAATAATCTTTATTTATTTATTTAAAGATAAAGTTCGAGTTGTTTTGGTGAAATGTTGAAACCTTGGCCACGTGTGCGTCGGCCCTCAGGGTGTGGGTCGGGGATGACTCGCAGCTACCTCCACCACAAGCTTCAGCTCCGTCTCTGGGCTTCGGGGCGAGCTGGAACGATTTTTGATTCGGCTGATGTTTAGCTGTGGCAGCCATCTTTGTTAATCAGATGATGTTTCTTTCAAATCCGTCCGCTGGTTGATGAGATATTTTGCTAACAGTCAAATAAACACAGACGTACTCTGGAAAAACATTATCGCCCGCGAAAAATAAAACCTGGAACTCTCCGAGACCTGAAGCCGCTGATGAGAAAAATGTAAAGTTTTATTCAGTTTTAAATGTTTTACATCTTCTCAACTTCTCAACCGAACGTCTGTTTCCACGTCTTCAGGAGAGATTTAATAAAAATATAAACGAGATTTGATATTTTACTTTAACGGCCACTTTAGTCAAACTCGTGTTTTTAACGAGGTTTTTGTCTTTTGTCTCAGACTCGTCCTCCTTCGGGCTTTTGCCTGAGGACACGAGCCGTTCGTCTTCTGGGAGGGACAAAGACAAGTTTTTATTCCTCTCATGTAAAAAACTGAATCCATAAAATCTGTTCGGTACCCGAAGGCTCGGCCGCGACCCAAACCAAATCTAAAGTCTGCTGCAGCGCCGAGCCAGGATCCAGTGGGTGCTTCAAAGCTGTGAGTCAGGCCCGGCCTCGCCCTGTGAGGGGGCGACGGGCCTGACTGTGAAAGTGGACTGTTGTCCTCAGGATGGAGGGTGGGGGGACGGCCACAAGTCTGCAGCTGAACAATGAGAACCTCGAGAACCTGAACAAACTCCTGTTTTAAACCAGGTTCAGAAGTTTTTATCCTGAGGCTGCTCCATAATCCAGGAAGATAATCTGACCAGGTGCAGTCAGGTCCTCTGGACAGATTCTTCTTGCTGAAACGTTTTGTCTTTTATCCAGAGGACTTCTTCAGTCTGAGGAGCTGCAACAAACTCGGAGTTATAAATAGCACCTTCTCATGTTGGATCAACCAGTTTGTTGTTGACGTCCAGAACCACCTGTTCACGTGATGAAGGACCATCAGACTAACGATGGATCGTTAGTGCCCTGATGGTGTCAGCTGTGGTGAAGAAGGAGCTGAGTCTGAAGGCAAAGCTCTGGATTCACTGGTTGGTCTAGAGTCCAACCCTAACATGAGGTCTGGACCAGGACCCAAAGAACCAGATCCTGGATCCAAGCAGCAAATGTTGGCTCGGCCTAGAGAGGAGAAGGAGCTCCGTCATCCGGGGGAGCTCAGAGTAGAGCTGCTGCTCCTCTGGATCTAAAGGAGTCAGTAAGGAGGATCATCTGATCGGGACACCTCCTGTAGGAGGTTCTTCTGATCGGGACTCCTCCTGTAGGAGGTTCCTCTGATCGGAACGCCTCCTGTAGGAGGTTCCTCTGATCGGGATGCCATAATTCTTTGTGAAACTGACTCAAACGTTCAGGAAGTTGCTTCAGACGTTCAGGAAGTTGCTTCAGACGTTCAGGAAGTTGTTTCAGACGTTCAGGAAGTTTTTTCAGACATTCAGGAAGTTGTTTCAGACGTTCAGGAAGTTGTTTCAGACGTTCAGGTAGTTGTTTCAGACGTTCAGGTAGTTGCTTCAGCTGTTCAGGAAGTTGCTTCAGACGTTCAGGAAGTTGTTTCAGACGTTCAGGAAGTTGCTTCAGACGTTCAGGAAGTTGCTTCAGATGTTCAGGAAGTTGTTTCAGACGTTCAGGAAGTTGCTTCAGACGTTCAGGAAGTTGTTTCAGACGTTCAGGAAGTTGTTTCAGACGTTCAGGAAGTTG